AAGTAGCTCCCGTCAACAATATTCGACAAGTATTGACTAGCAGGTAAAATGGGACAAATCGAAAATTGAAAGTTTGTCGCCTCTGGGGGGGTGACACCATTAAGTGCCGCACCGGGTGACACTCGACCTCGCTACGCCACTGAGCTAATGTAAAGCCACAGCTCAGTATAGGCTTGAATTTAACATAAAATAATGTTAGCAGTGGACAGCCTCTAAGACTGTGCATTAGGAGTACGGCCGTCGGCAAAACGCCAGAGTCCGACGATACCTGTACATCAATTTTGTCTTTTATGAAGTGCTGAGCACCTTTAAGACCTGAGCTTGGCCCCTGTTGACACCACCACTAGCGCCGCTTATGTCCACATATTAATCACACGTTTTGCGTGGAGCTTAATGGACAGACGTTTATAGGTGGGACCGGGAGCCTAAATGCATTTACCGAAGCCGCTGTATCACGGGCATTTTAGAGCCGAACGTCTCAGGGCAGCAGGTTGCAGAAATTAAAAGCACGTGAATTTGTATAGTAGAGGGAGAACATCATGCCACTGTAATAAATTAAACACCAAAATAATTCACCGAACTAAAGTTATTTAGATCTATTCTTCAGGCTAAACGTCGTTAAAGTCTCATCGCCATAGTGATTTAGGGCCTGTTTTGATTTTCTTTTAATTACGCGGTATCTTTCTTAAACATTAGCCTAATGACAAATGACGTCACGCGCGCCGCGAACTTTGTGACGTTGTGCTTAGTGGGGGATGAAACGGCGTGGTTGAGAAAAATGACGTATTTCTTTTTTTTTTTTTAACAGACGAATAAGTGATAGATTCTAATTTTCCTACGAACTATACGTTGATCTAGTTTTTTTTTTCTAGAGTGGGATATCACTATATTGTGATGGGCGATTTATATATAATCTCAATATATTCTGATCTACTACTATTCATACGGCAACTATTATACTCGTGAGGAGGACGGGAATCACTCTTATGTTCCGCAGACACTAATTAACAATGTCAACAACTTAGTTTATGAAATAACATGAACTTAATTAACACACACTTATAGATCATTTTCACAATATCAAATAATACATCCGTCTTCTACTATATCTAACCCCCAACTAACTTCACTGCTGCGTCTTACGTCATCGGTACATTGTCGCGCCATGCTCACGTCACACTCACGCCACACATATTTTATTGAACACGCGCACAATACTCTCGCACCAAATCGTCTACCGTCAAGTTCGTACCGTCCTTAGTAACCTCTACTCGTCTAGTCTAATTCTATATATCTACGCTATGACACATATAGTGGGTGTTTTTTTTTTTTTTTTGGTAATAATGGATGGTGGGGAGGGGTAAACATTGACTACTGAAGAAATCAAAAACTGATGACAGCAGAAGGCAAAGAAAAACAAAAACCATGTGGTATTCAAATGTAACTAATTAAAATTTGAACCTATTTTAAAAAACACAATAATCTTAATTCAGAAAAAGTGTAGGCCTAAGACTAATGTCTACAGACAAAATAAACAACTAGACTTAATTAAATGGATCGCCCATAAATGACGTCATACTTTTCCCGACAATTTCCCTCTCACCCAATAGTTACTAAAAGCAAGATGATGATTTAATATCATATCGCAGTTCTACTATGCCCGAACCCTTAATCACAATTTCTAACGAAAACGAATATATTCTTCATCATTTTTGAAAAAAATATTTTACACCGTCCCATATTTTGAGTCCAACGTCATTTATGAGGAATATGGACGACCTAATAATTGACAAGTTAAGGGGTCATCCATAAATGACGTCACGCTTTTTTAATACGATTTTTACCTCCCCCCCCTCCCCTCCGTCACACGTCGTCACAAAAAGTCAGACCCCCCCCCCCCTAAAATGACTTCACATATCAGCCTACAACCCCCCCCCCCCACCCCTCTCAAAATTGCAGTTGATTTTTTTTTAAAACATCGATATTTTTCCAAAATCTTGTCTGAAATATGTCAAAATATAGTATTTTAATCAATTCCTATTATAATTTATTAAAACTGTTTTTTTAAAAAGCTAAATAATGTCTAAAATTCGTTTTCTAACTTTTCTTATCTATAAAGCAAAAGTGTGACGTAGCACCATCTGAACCCCCCCCCCCCCCCCCTCCCCGTCATCACACATCGTCACAAAATTACCGACCCCCCCCCCCTCCCCCCTACGATTGTGACGTCATTTATGGACGACCCCTAATCAGTACAAAAGGGTTTAGTAAATGTTGGACCTCCCAAAATTTTTTGAGATCTTGGATGTACATACATACATAGCCTTCATTTCACTTGAAAATGAAATTAAAGATAAGAAGACGGCCCTCTGTCTTACTTATATTAAACAAGACAGGTATGTATATTAAACAACAAAGTCAACACAATATACATACGCATAGACATTTTTATCCAGGGAAACTACTCTAAATTTTATTTGGAAAGATGGCCGCTGTTTTTTTTTCTACTAATATTTATCTCAAACACCTAGTTTAAAGTTAGTTTCATGTTATTTAAATTGTTTTGGTCACTGTTTGTTATTTTAAATCAATTATCTGTGATATTTTGTAAAATTTGACTTAAATAAACTTATTTAAACAAATATATTCATCAGCTACCTCTCCCGCACATTACTATTGCAGCCGAATTGATTACGCTAAAACGATAGATTACCATATAATCTATGGCCAAGTATTGATAAAACAAAATAAACGCAATTTTTTTTGGGTCGACTCGCGAAATCGATTTCGAGCAAAACGAACGCATTAGGCCTACATAGAAAATAAATAATTTGGGGCATATTCAGTTTTTTTTCACTGTTGGGAGTGCTAGGGTCTAGGACAAGCCAAATTTCTTAGCAGGCCTAACTTTGATTGGGCGACAGAGTTACTGGACCTGAAAAGCGCAGCAATACGTTTATGGAGCCCGGATATTAGAATATATAGTTCGCCTGATACAATGTTAAGCTAAAAGATATCTATACATTTAACATAGTATATTTAACATATAATATTTCACATACATTGTGAAATATAAATATATTTTAAAAATTAGAGTTATTTAATAGTTAACCAAAACGATTTACTCGCGAATGAATATATTGATGACGTAATTATTCCCATAGTTCCCAAAATCTGGTTTCTTTCGATGTTTTCATATGGTTATTTTATGTATCGATACCAATAGTCTTCGTAGAATGAAAAAAAAACAACAACCCATAGGTTTATCACTACTAGATCTATTAATTACAAATTGTATGTAGGCCTACATTTAAATGAATAGGGTTTTCAAAACAATAATACTAAATTATAATCAACATAACACTGTTTCATCCTTTAAACGTTTTAAAATTAAATGTGGTTGTAATTGATTATGTCATATTAAAATTCACCTAAACAGACTCATATTTTGCCTAAAACTACACGTTTTATCTATTCGTAGATTGCGTCGGTAGACCTAGATCTATGCTTTCAGTGGCGTTGGTAAGGGGGGAGGGGCTTTACTTACGTTAACGCTACAGCGATTGAATAGCGTAGGTGTGTATATATGTGGGGTGGGGTGCAGCCCATACCGAGTGAATGTTTAATGTGTTCAATGGAGTGTTTAGAATACGACGCAACTTACATTTTGCTTCTCTTACAAATACTTGTGACATTAAATTTAAAGAGGGGGTGGAAAGTGGTCTGCCATTGTGTACTATGGATGGAGTGAAGGAGATTTGTTATTCATCTGGCGCTTAGGGTGGATTATTAACGTTACTACAGTTTTCCTATAACCAGTGTTTCAATTTATATAACCAAAACCCGGCACCCAGGACAAACCAGCACCATTGCTATATCATTGCACTTCAATGGAACTCGTCCATTTCAAGATAAAATGACTGGAAAAGCCATACGCTTTTCGAACACAGTTGAGTACACTTTCAACCAAGTGATAATATTAATAAGTAGGTCTTGCGTATTGTAAACTTATATAGGCCTACACACATCTGTTTTTAAAATTAGCTTCATAACCTAACTTTGACTGTAGCTTATTTCATCCCAGCTTTTTAATATGGCAACCCTTAAATTAAAAATATTCTTGTCTTACAAAAAGTATGTTTTAAAAAATAAAAAATAAAACGATTTAAATAACAAACTTTTAAAAATGCACTATGAAATGCACAACTATTTAAATATAAAAAAGAAAAGTGTGGGTCGTTCTATGAATCAGTGTTTCTTTCAGACATTTTTTTGGGGGAGGGGCACTTCAAACTTTCGGGGAGCGGGGGGTGGTAGGGGGGGGGGGGCGGGCATACTGGCTGAAGTATATATTTTGTTTTTACATTATATTTTGTTTGAGGGGGGGGGGGGGGGCAGGATGTTTAGTGTGTGTTGGATGGGAGATAAAGAAACCGATATGAATGCCCTTATAATATATTTATGAGCGACCCATGCTTTTTAAAATTAATATTTCAATAATGGTGCATTATTATTGAAAGTCATTTTATTTTCTACTTTTTTGTGCATAATTAAACGTGTTTTACAAATTAAAAATTATTGTTTCCTCTACAGAGGAATCAAGTTAAGAAAAAGCTTGTAAAATAGACTAGATTTACTTTTAAAACTATGACAAAGATATCAACGTCAAATAGGCCTAAATTCGTTGAAAATTGTAACTTTTCAACAAACATTTGTATGCAGATTTTTATCACATCAAAAGATTCATATTAAATATAATTTATATTCCTACAGGCGCCACTAGAAATGCTGCGAAAATGTGTTTTTTTTATATTTCTTGTCCTAATAATCAGATTGTCTAGATATCACATAAGCTATTTTTTTCGCAAGGGTTTAATTATTATAGTTATTTTAGGTTACTCAACTTTGGTTTGCTGGGCGAGTAAAATGGCATCGAGCAATGTAAATGCTTTCCGTATCGATACCCAATTGGGTATGTTTTTTCCGGTTTGTTCCGATTTCATTCACAAGGACAGCGCTGTCCACCATCTTTTCTTCCATGATGGCTGAGGTTTCTACTGTAGTATCTTCGACAATGAAACGCGATTTTAGTAGGGTTGTGTTAACATTAGATAATGTATTAATTCCTGATGATAAATTATCAGAAACACCATCAATGCTAGATGGTCTGGAGAAAGAGGTTGAAACAGATCTTAGAATATTAGGATGTGAACTTATTCAAACAGCCGGAATTCTTCTAAAATTGCCACAGGTTTGTCATTGTCTAGTCTACCTACCGACTTAACATTGTCTAGAAATCTATGAGCTAGCTAATAATTAGATCTAGAACTAGTCTAGATGTAGATATATAGACTAGATCTAGATTCTACATATTAGAATCTAGAAGTTTAGATTTACACCTATTCATTTAAATACATTTAACCACGTTTGGTACTCAGTTTCACGGGGAGGGGGGGGGGATCCTAGACATTTAGACAACCAGTTGTAATAAAACTCAATCCAAGCTTGGTGTTCTAGAGGTCTAGGATATAGAGTATAGATTTCTAAATCTAAGCATAAGATCTAGAGCAGTGGTTCTTAACCACTCCCGTTTCATATGCACATCCCCGAACCCCCGTTACAGACTTAGAAGTACCCCTAGGGTTTGCTCAAACACAAACTCAGAACCAATGATGACGGATTTAAAATCATGATCTTTTATACCAGTGTCAGATATTAGAATGTTCATAAAAAGGGCGTTACACACATGGCCTGTAGATGTCATTGCTGACCCCAACCCTAGTCATACCCTGAACATACAGACTCTTCCGAAAATAGGTGTTAAGGTTGGTAGTCATGATATTGTACTCCACTGGTTTTACTGTTAGAAATTAGGGTTAGTATTGACATTAGCAAGCCATGTGTGTATTTTTAACTACCACTAAACTAACACCCCTTTTTAAAGATTCTATTATCTGACACTGGTTAAAAATATCCTTCAAATAGTGTAGTAGCAGCCTAAAGATGGAAATGAGCATAAAGCAGATAAATATAAGAATCATTTTTTAAGTAGGCATATCTTGATATATGTAGGTGTAAAAGTATTTTCTCTATTTTGTATGTCCTAAGCTAATTTTTTTTAAAGTCATGTTAAAATACCTAGTGTTAGGTTCCATATAGGCAATTTATAGGCCTATAAAAAATAAAATTGATTACGACTTTCAATTTATATTTTTCCCTAGGTGGCAATGGCAACTGCTCAAGTAGTGTTCCAGAGATTCTACTATTCAAAGTCCTTTATAAAACATAATATGGAGGTAAGCCTGTTTGGTTTAAATTTTTCTTTATATAGACATTCTTTTATTTCAATCTCATACACTGGTTTCAACTTGTAGACACAGTTGAAGGGTTTCATTAAAGGTGTTTAAGTTTCTGATTTAATGCACAATTACTGACTGTTGGCAGGTTGTGGCTATGGCAAGCATAATGCTGGCCTCCAAGATTGAAGAATGTCCTAGAAGAAATCGTGATGTTATTAATGTGTTCCATCACATTAAGCAAGTACGGAATAAACGGTAAGAATTAAAGCTTTACCTAAGTTATTTTAAACTTTTTTTTCCAATTTTTGTTACTTGTACTATCAATATATATGCTTATTGTTGAATGTTATGCATAAAACAATTAAAATATTTGTCTAATAATTTTTTTGCACTAAATAGCAATGAATGATTTTCATTTTTTTACAGTAAGATCATTTTCAGTTTTGGAAAATTAATTTGCTTAATTAAATAATTGTTCTAAAGTAGATCTTAGTTTTAACACATTTCTTTTTCTTCCTCCCAATCTAACTGGATGTGCTACAGATTAAATCTGAGTGTTGTGTGGCCTTGGGTTGGAGAAGTGGAAAGCTGGAGATAGACAAACACAATCTTGTACACTCTAGTGTATCAGTCCGTCTGTCTCCTCCACCTCCTTGCTCAACCAGCAAAGGCTTGACTGGTTCCAACATAACATCTTGGGTACTAATGGTTTGTATGAAATAAAAAAAAAGACCAAAAAATGTAAATGTTATAAAAAGGAAAAAAAAAAGGTTTCAGTGGCTGATATTGTGGTAATTAATTTGAGAGCTTTGCAGCCTCCTTAGCTGAGGTGTCAAGTACAATTTGTTTTAAATCATACTTTACATCATTTATATATTAGCACCATGGCTTATATTTTGTGCATAAAATGTTTGTCATAAAAATGTTCATGTACTCAGCTTAAAACTTAATTTAATGCTTATAAGATTAGCCTAGCTTGTGTTCACTGTATAGATATAATTAAGAGCAAAAGTAATTCCTTTATGTTCATTAAAAGTTGTATCCTAAAGATACATTCTTTAACCTCAGATCTACCAACATATTCACCCCATTTTTCCTCTATGTGCTCCAAGGACTGACAGACACAATCAAGTTGAGGAATTTGGAGCTGCAGGAGCTTGACCCTTTAAAGCTGTGATTGATATATCTGTTGTTCATGTGTGTTTTGTTGGTTAACCATTATATCTGTAAGCTTAGATGTTTTGCAGTTTAGGTTAAGTTATATTGTGGCCACAATTGTCATTTGGATACATCAAACCAAAGAGCTGTCAAATTTCACCAATTGCTGAAAATACGCTAAAAGCCTACCATGGATTAGCTAGTTATAGTAATTTTTCTTCCAGTTGATTTTCTCTCTATTCTTTGTGTAATAGCTAAAGCTACATTTTTACCCAAAGTACCAGTTGAAAGAAAATGTAGTTGGCCTAAAACACAATCATTCTGAATCCAGTCTTACTTTTGGTCCCCACAAACTCCTTGTATCAGTTACCCAATGCTCACACAATTTTAAGTGACACAGGATGTCTAAAAAACTAAGGTACATAGGACTGTTGGATGTAACCCAGTTTCATGTGTGGTATAATGAAATTTTTTAATGTCACATAAACTATTAGGATTCTTACTCATTTTACCTTCATATAAGGAGAGGATTGTAAATGTTTTGTTCTGGGGAAATCGTATCTCTAAGTTTGCATTTTCTGGATGCTACATTAATTTTTGTCACACTGCAGTTGCTGTTTCTAGGGAAATAAGGTGATGAATAATGGATACATTTAGCTTGGTGCTAGTGTGGTCACTATGAGCATTTTCTGAAGATTAAAATAAGGATTTAAGTTTTTAAGCAAGCATTTGCTTTAAATTTTGGTCACATTATGTTACAACATACGGTGGTAATTTTTGAAACTGGTGTGTTTTAATGAGCTTAGTGTGCATTAAAAATTAATAATTTTGGTGCTATTTTTTCAGGTAATTGATCAATTACTACAGTTTGTCGACTGATCAACTTTTCCAACTTTTTATTTGGAACGATCAAGCCGTGTTGATAAATACTATCAAGATAACATGTGGGATGTATTTTTATGTGAACAGAATGTCTGGTTAACTGAGCAAAGTTCTAATTTTACAAGGGTTCTTTTGATTTCCATAGGAAACAACTCTGCTTGCAATGTTCAGCAAACACATTGATTAAAAATGTTTTTCTATACTGTTATTGTAATTAATACTTGACAAAAAAAGCAATACTCTCAAATTTTTTACCCGATCAGTCATTTGCTACTAACTTTTTTTTACTAATAAAGCTGTAGCACATTCAGTTACGTTGTTTGATAATGTACATCAGTTTAAATTGTAATCAGCCATCTTGGATGCATTATTAAACAACAAGGTTCCCACCATTGTAGCTTTCTATGCAACCCTTTGGAGATAATTTACACTTTATTCCTCAGGAAATAATCCACACATTCTTTGACTCAACAGGGATTTGAACAGATATCTACTTAATGTACTTATTAGGACATGTATTTGTAAATGTAATTGGTGTTTCAGGAATATACACCCACTTGTTTTGGATCAACATTATATCAACCTCAAAAATCAGGTCATAAAAGCGGAGAGGAGAGTTCTAAAAGAGCTGGGATTTGCTGTTCATGTGAAACACCCTCATAAGGTAGCTCACATTTTTATTGAATACTTTAATCAGTTATTAATTATTTATTATGATAACTCATTTAAGTTCTTGTGATTAATATACATTGCCACCCTGACTTTCAGATTATTGTTATGTACCTGGAGGTACTTGGCAGTACAGGGAACAAAAAGTTGGTTCAGTGTGCTTGGAATTTCATGAATGACAGTCTACGTTCTGATGTGTTCATGCGGTTCCACCCAGAATCTATAGCCTGTGCTTGTATCTACTTGGCTGCTCGACAATGCCAGATTCCTCTGCCTAATAGCCCACCTTGGTTTTGGCTGTTTGCTGTTGATGAAGAAGAAATTCAGCTTATTTGCATGTCTATCTTGAGACTGTATGCTAGGCCCAAGGTGCGTATAAATTCTACTTTCTGGTTGAAAACTATTAACTATTTTTTAGATTTTTGTGGTTTTAATTTTTTTTTGTGTATTTCAGCCCAACCTGGAACAGTTGGAAAAAACAGTTGAAGAGCTCAAACGCAAACAACAAGCAGCTAAGTCTAAAGCCAAAGGTCTTGTGTCCGATGTTGATACTCCTAACTCCACATCCAGACAAAGTACGTTTTTTCTTATTTTCCTGAAGTTCCTAATTAGGTGTACAATGCTATTTTATACTACTGAAGACCTGTCTTGTCTTTGTTTAAATAAAGAACTGTTGTCAAATCTTTTATAGACTCTCCTAAAGTGTTCAGCCCCACACCAACATCTTTACTGCAATCCATGAAAAAGGAAAAAGAGAAGCTGGAAACCAAGCAAGTAGATAATGGAGAAGTTGGTAGTGACAGGTCAGACAATGATCGTAGATCAGGGAAGAAACGAAGCCATGAGCACAGTGATGATAGTGAGAGGAGCTTATCCAAGTCTAAGTAAGTTAATTCACCCTTTTGTGTTACACATTTTGATGTTAGTTTTAGCACATTGCCAACAATTTCTTGAAATTTTATTTCAGTTCTTCGAGTATTTCTAGTCAGCACAGCCCAAGGTCTGAATCACCGTCAGCTAAAAAACACAGACGCTCCCCAAGCAGTAAAAAAGTTAAGAAGCAGGAAAGTTTTGGACGTGGGGATAAACACAAAAGAAAGTACAGATCTAGGTCGCACTCTTACAGCAGATCACCAATACGAGCTCCAAAACTTTCTAAAAAGTCTCGTAGAGCTGATTTCAAAGATTCAAGGGACCAATACAAAGAAAAAGATTATTATAGGGAAAAAGATTATAAAGATCGTGATTATTACAGAGAAAAGGACAGGGATTATTACAAAGAGATGAAAGAAAGGAGATCGTACAGTCCAGAAAAAGATCACCGTAGTAGGTCTAGAAAGCATCGTAGCAATGGTCACAGAGAGAGTCCTATCAGAGAGAAACTTGATAAACACAGAAGGTAACCCTAGTTTGTCATAGGTTACTACAGGGAACACCTGCAATCATTCCATTTGGCTGTGATTCTCAGAGAGCAATGGTTCTACAGAATGACAATTCTTGTTATGTACAAACACTGAGCTTGTTCCTCGATTGTCTACTTAACATTAACATTACACTGTTTACAACTTCAGTATGCAAACATGAAATGGTCCACGTTGGCGGTTCACAGCAGCTGCCATATGTGGTGGTAGCTGCCCTCACTTTCAGGAATAAAGATTATGTATATATTTGTATTTATGTGCCTTGATTGTTAAGATGACTACTCTTAGTGCTGTTTCTGACATTGCCTCTAGTAATACATTTTTTTATCTAAAGTGTAACACTATGAAAATTTCATTATCCTGTGTAGTGTAGAGGTTAATTTCAGTTTTTATATAAACTGGACACTTCAGGCAACATATATCTAGCTAGTTCTTAATTTTAAACATTTCCAGAAATAAGATTTTTTAATTGAAAATTTCTTGTAGTTTTACAAAGCACTAATACTAATTGCAGCTAATGTAGTGCTCTTTAATCTGCTACAAATTTACTTACAAAATACTAAGGGATATTTTCTTGTAACTGCTCAGTGACAACTTACTGATAAATTTATGTACATGTCTTTTTTTTAATCATGGTGGTATCAGCAACAAATGTGTACAGTTTTTGACATGTGTAAATAAGTTTATAAATAATAAAAATGTTTTTAAAAATCTTTCAGTTTTACACATTCTTTGTTTTAATTTATTAAATGTGGGACTTGTGTAAATGAACAAATACACGTTAGTTTCACATACCTGAGGGTTGGAAGATCTTCCAAGCACATCTTGTAAAATTATTGAAGCAGCTGTGGATGATTCTGACTGATTAATTGAAAGTTTTTTTGTGCATGAGAAGCTAATCATTGAAACAAAATGGAGAACATGTAGTTCTCATAATTTTTGAAGCTGTTTTAAGTTGTACTAATGCATTGAAGTATTTGAAGAAAATGCATTTATGAAAGTTTCACTGTATTTCCCTAAACTAAAGATGTAGTGTAAATAATGCTTAGCACTTAAAAAGGAGTTATGAACTTCTATACATTTTCAAATGTATTGTGGTCTTAACACGTAACGCGTCTAATGTTTATACTTATGCAAATTCTAAACATCCTCACTGTTGAAGAAAAAGTTCAGCTGTTGTAGGCATACTGTCATGCGCAATTGTAATGCTAACATTTGAAAACTGTCTATATTAATATGCACAATTTTAGACAAGTTTGTCAAACAGATGGTGCCCTATTTGGTTTAGTTACCAAATGTTTTCTCTTCAGCCTGACAAGGTTAGCGAGGGTGGTGTGGGCAACTTCAGGCATAATGGGCACAACATCCCACTTCTTGTTTTAAGTTATATTGCAGCAATAAGCGACTGTTGATCCCCCTAATCAGGTTGTCTTGTTTGGTGTGTTCATCACTAGGCCTAGCCACTTTGCTTTCCCTAACGTAAATCAGGCTGGGTGAACTCTGACGATGTGCACTCGTGACTCGGGTTAGTAGCGCTTGACGCCGTCTTTATTGTTGGGGCGGTGGCGATGATTTGAGGGGTGGTAGACGATATGAAAATTGTCTTATCAGACGACTTTCCTAATGATAGTCTGAATAATGTAATTAGATTCTACCCCGGTGAGACAAATCAGTTGTTTTTCCAAACTTTTAAGAATTTATTGATTCTAATAAATCTAACCCGATGTACAATTGCTCTGTTGAAGAATGTACAAAATTGCACCCTTCAGACATACAAAATATAAACCATAGAGCATACATACAAACCACGCTAAATCACAGAAAAACAAACATTTTTTTTTTACATATGCAATGACTGCCATTAGTACACACATACCTACAATACAAGGCTTACTTGGCAAATCAAAGAAAAAATTGACCTGGCTAAACAAATAGGAACTTGATGTGTTATTGTGACTTTGTATGGTTGACCGATTGATTACTACAAGCGGTCAACCATACAATGTCACACACAAGGGGAAGGAAGAAATCAGACAATGGTGGATAGGGGGAAAGCTGTTAAGAGTAAATCAGAAATCTTTTACACATATATATATATATATATATATATATATATATATATATATATATATATATATATATATATATATATATATATATATATATATATATATATATATATATATATATGAAAAGACTAGCTAGAGACGCAGCAAGGGCCCCCACTTAAAAATAAATATATTTCGCTACTAAACACCTATGCCATGACACAGATAAACAATTCTCTAATTAAATAATTAGTTAGTTGTGTTTGGATTTGGTCCCATACAAATAATCAATCCACCGGCTGGCCGCCTGGTGGAATATGGCGTCCCCGTCAATGATGGCCATCTCCTGGATCAGGGCGATGTGGGTGAGGTGGTAGTCCCAGCGCGCGCGGTTCGGCTGCTCGTGGTTGATCACGTGACGCAGGTCGTACAGCGTGCCCGTCCCCGAGTCGTACATCCCCAGCATAATCTTTAGGGACCGGAGGCCGGAGGACCAAAGCCGCTCAGCCAGTCGTTGGCCCTCCCCGTCTGCTGTTTTCTGAAACAGGAAGTTAGCTTCTAATTAGCTTCCAATTCTCTTATGATTCTCTTCTAATAAGCTTATTAACCGTCAATAGATACCGTGGCGTAGCGAGGTCGGGCGTGCGTCACCGGTGCGTCACTTAATGGTGTCACCCTCCCAGAGGCGTAGCGACCCTTCCCGGGTACAAACTTTCAATTTTCGATTTGCACCCCCCCCCCCCCCCTCAAACTTTCGATTTGCACCCCCCCCCCCCTCAAACTTTCGATTTGCACCTCTTAAAAGACTATTTAACACTCGAATTAATTACTTAATTAAGTGGAATTAAATTATCATTTTTCTCTATATATTTTGCTATTTTTTTGCCTTGGTGTCACCCCCCTAAATGGTGTCACCCGGTGCGGTCCGCACCCACAGCCCCCCTCGCTACGCCACTGAATAGATATATTAGTTTCTCAAATAGTTTATAAAAAATAAAGTTTTATTTTGTTTCTAAACGTTTCTTTATAAATATAACCCCTAGCACTTCCATCTCACCCCACCCCATTAAAGTTTCAAGTGCCCCCCTCCCCCCCCCCCGGAGAAAAAGTAAAACCCATGGGGTCGTTGAGTCGCATGAAGGAGAAAAGTCCCACAAAAAATACTGTGGCGTTATAATAGGCCCTGTCATTGAGAGCTTCTTATACCATACCATGAATTCTCATGGAGAAAGTGAAACCGCACACGGGGACGACATAAATTCTCATTATAGAGAAAGTGAAATGATACAATGGCGTCATTTTACTCCATCATGTAGATAGTGAAACCATACCATGACGTCATATAGCCCCATCATGTAGATAATGAAACCATACCATGACGTCATACAGCCCCATCATGGAGAAGATAAAACCGTTGAGGACGAAGGTGCTGGTCGGTGTGGTGGGATACTCCTCGTACCAATCCAGCTGTCCCAAAAATCTGGCTCGAACTCCTCCTTCTTCAGATCCAAGCTGGCAACACAGAAATACACATGGTAGATTTAGAGAAACAAAACAGCACATCCAAGTTACCAACACAGAAACACATGGTAGATTTAGATAAACAAAAAAAAAAATAAATAAAAAAATAATTTCATCTAAAAATATACACCTCACAACCCCCCCCCCCCCTCCCCCAGAAAAGAATGTGGAAAAAGCATCGTTTTCATCGTAAATTGAATGACTTATCAGTTATTCAAAATACTCAATAAAACATTTTTTTCCTCTAAATTTTGCAGTTGATGACATTCCCCCCCCCCCCCCCCCCCCCACACACACACACCGGATGATAAAGATTTTTTAATAGTAAATATGTTTATCTATAGTCTGTTATTAATACAAGCGGATTAACTATTATTAATCATTAATTGAACTAGCAAAAAACATATTTCTTCTATTAATTTTGCAATTTTAAAAAAAAATCCTTGGCCCCTTGGACACAGCCCGTCCACCCCTTCTCTTTTGGCTTACAGATATAATTTAGAAATTATTTTTTTCTACTCCAATTGTGCCCGACTCTTGGGCTGCAGGGTCCACACATAGCCGACATATTGTTTGTATGTTTTATATGTGGTGTTCTGGTGTACTGAGTATGTAGAAGTGTAGTGTTGTATGTATGTAAGATATGGTGTGGTGTTACCTCGTATAGATGGAGGCCTTTTACCGCAACATCGACGTAGTGCCGCTGTCCAGTGAGATTATAGGCACGGATTAGAGTGGACATGGCCTGACCTTGACCCATAGCTGAGTACCAGCCGGGCTTGAGCTCAATGTCGCCCGTCCTCATGCCGATACTTGTGGGCCACCCACCGGCACTGTCCTGGTTGCTGACCTGAAAGTGTGGGGGTGGGGTGTGTGAGATGGTGGGAGGAGGTAGGGTAAGAGGGTGAGTACAGGAGAGACGAGAGGGTGGGGGGAGGTAGGGTAGGAGGATGAGTACAGGAGAGATGAGAGGGTGGAGAGGGTGGAAGAAGATAAGGTGAGGGTGTGGATTAGAGGGTGGGGATGAGAGGTGTTGAGAATGACGGTAAGTCGGTGGTTACGACGGGGGGGGGGGGGGGGGGGGGGGGGGGAAGGGAGAGGTAGAGGGTGGGTATGAGAAGGTGGGGATTAATGAGATCAGAACGTGGGAGGCGATGATAAAGAAATATTTAGTGATGAGATAATTCCGATAAGAGGAATATATATATATATATATATATATATATATATATATATATATATATATATATATATATATATATACAATATGTCTACCCTATGACACAATTTGTGCCCTAGAGACGCCGTTAGTGCCAAAGATACACAAATAGAGGTAATGAAATGCTGACCAGCCAGTTCGCTGCGTCTATCAAATGGTCAAAGTGGGCTGATGACGAGAGGGTGACGTTGTCCAGGTAACCTGACCCGTGGAGCGTGACCTCAACTATCTCGTGGAAAACCGTTGGGGCGTTGTATCTCACGTGGTCCAGTCCTAGCCAATGACATACAATTCAGTTCAATTTTTTCTTAAATTTAAATAACATTTTATTTAATATGAATTAACGTATTCAACTCAGTTCAAGGGGATCATCCATAAATGTCGTTACACTTTTTTTAAAATGATTTTTACCTCCCCTCTGCTATCCGCCACACTTTAGCCTACAACCCTAATCAAAATTGCAAAATTTTTCTTAAAATACGATATTTTTCCAAAATGTTGTCTGAACTCTGTCAACATAGAGTATTTTAATCAATTCCTATTACAATTTATTAAAAGGCTAAAATGCGTTATCTAACATTGCTTTTTAATAATGCCAAAGTGTGACGTCAAACCACCTGAACCCCCCCCCCCCTCCCTCATCACACACCGTCACACAATTACGGACCCACCCCTCCCCCACCAGAGTGGCGTCATTTATTGACGACCCCAATAGAAATGTTTTCTCAGCGTTAGATTATGAACACTTAAAGCAATCACGAACAAAAATAAAATACAATCAGGCATATACCTTTATACCAATCGACATCCAAGTCCCTGGCCAGATGGTGCCAGCGCCCCAGGTGGCGGCGCCCCATGCCGTAGACCACATGGTTACTCTCTATGTACATGTACTTCTCCTCTTGGCTAAAGTGGACGTAACCATCTTTTCCTTCTTTTGTTCTAATTTTCACGGTTACTCCCCCTGGACCGTTCATGTAAATATCGAAACACAAAGTCTGCTGCGTTGTTTCCAAGTTGAGTGTTGGACCAGGGGAGGTTAGCGATTCTAATTCAAAAGAAAAAAAAAACATACATAAAATGCATTTTTAAATTAGATCTATATGCATTAAGCATAAACATTTACAATACAGGTTTCCAAGTTTCCAAAGTTTATTTCAACATTTATCTGCATTTTTTGAGTTAATTAATAAAAAAAAAATCTTGTTTACCAGGGGAGTTAAACGATAAAACTTTTCTACTGTTGCTGCCGACTTTGACTTCTGCTATTGAGATGGTGGAGTCTCCATCAGGGACTATCCAGTTGTAGGGGTCAAGGTTACCACTGGATACAACCTGGTGTAGAACAAGGAGAAATTTTAGTTCAATAAAACATTTTGGAGGTAATTTCGCACAAAGTTAATACTATTTAATTAAAAGTCGTGATAATTAATGATACCCATCTAAAATTAAAAAAACAAAATTTTTGATGTTATGTAATAAAAAATGTTAAAAAATTAAAAAGATAAAAAAAACGTAGCTGTGATTGTAATGCTCTAGGTTTACATACTGTCCAGACCCGGCCTTCTATATGAGCCTGATCAGCTCTAATAAGTACCGGGCTCATTTTATTGGAAACTATAATGCATGTGTGGTGTGGTAAGACCGGGAATCTTCCCCTCATTAATTAAGGCTGATAACGAGATTCGACAGCATAACTGTTGAATTGCTCTCAGTTTCATTTTGTTATTTAATCATTATGTTACATATATCATTATGTTATCTACATCATTATGTTATCTACATCATTCTGTTATCTACATCATTATGTTATCTACATCATTATGTTATCTACAATCTACATCATTAAGTGATATACATCATTATGTTATCTACATCATTATGTTATCTACATCATTATGTTATCTACATCATTATGTTATCTACATCATTATGCTATCTACATCATTAAGTGATATACATCATTATGTTATCTACATCATTATGTTATCTACATCATTATGTTATCTACATCATTATGTTATCTACATCATTATGCTATCTACATCATTATGTTATCTACATCATTATGTTATCTACATCATTATGCTATCTACATCATTAAGTAATATACATCATTATGTTATCTACATCATTATGTTATCTACATCATTATGTTATCTACATCATTATGTTATCTACATCATTATGTCATCTACATCATTAAGTGATATACATCATTATGTTATCTACATCATTATGTTATCTACATCATTATGTTATCTACATCATTATGTTATCTACATCATTATGTTATCTACATCATTATGTTATCTACATCATTATGTTATCTACATCATTCTGTTATCTACATCATTATGTTATCTACATCATTAAGTGATATACATCATTATGTTATCTACATCATTATGTTATCTACATCATTCTGTTATCTACATCATTATGTTATCTACATCATTATGTTATCTACATCATTATGCTATCTACATCATTAAGTGATATACATCATTATGTTATCTACATCATTATGTTATCTACATCATTATGTTATCTACATCATTATGTTATCTACATCATTATGCTATCTACATCATTAAGTAATATACATCATTATGTTATCTACATCATTATGTTATCTACATCATTATGTTATCTACAACATTATGTTATCTACATCATTATGTGATCTACATCATTATGAAAAAACAATTACCGTTGGTTTTGGATTGCCGCTGAGGATCCCTTTGGCATGGTGGCTAAGACCGTACTGGGCTACCGAGATGGCATAATAGTAGCCTTCTGGATCCCATTGGCTTGCCAAGGGCACTCCTGATGAGAAACATAAATCATTCGTTAATGCTCTACTGTATCTATTATATCATATATAAGTTTTGTGCTGACATCTCACATACTCATGGTAGACAAGTAGAAATCCCCCCTCCCCCTAAGCCTTATAAAAAATACAAAATGTTTTAAAGAAATAGGAAATAAATTGGGTATTTAATTTTAATTTTAAAATCAAATACAAAATTTAGGAAGAATCTTTTTTTCCTTCAGTTTTAATGGAATTATTGTTCGCCTCTGGTTGAATTGTTATACCATTACCTTTATCAAATATTTAATTTAATGAAATATGAAATCCAACATCATTTAAGTATTCATATTATATATATATATATATATATATATATATACTAGCCGTCCCGGCCAGGCCCTGCTCTGGCTTCTGTGAAAAACCTTTCTGTTAAAGACCATTACCTGTGTGTTTAGTAATCATCATAAACCCGGCATTGCCCACCCAAACCACAACCAACCAAAACCAAAACAACAAAACGCAAACATAACGCTAACACAATTACAAATACAAACGAAAACAAAAACTTAACAACAAACACAACCACACCCACAAACACCAATACATACACAAATAAAAAACAAACAAAAAAGCAAACGAAAACAAAAACCTAACAACAAACCCAACCACAAACACCAATACCAACAAAAAAAAATCAACGAAAAAAGCAAACGAAAACAAACCAAATCCAAACGCAAAACCAACCAAAAACACAAATACAAACCCAAACAAAAAAAACACAAACAAAAACGAAAAAAGAAAGAACAAAAACGAACCAAATTAAAACGCAACCACTAACGCAAACCCACCTAAACACAAAGAAAACACTAACGCGAACATAAACGCCCGGGGCGGAATCACCTGTTTTAGCTTAATGAACGACTATAGTACCCCAACTTATTCACAGTCTTTTGCACTCACTTAAACGAACGCGCCTGTTTCAATTTAATAAACAATTTTAATACTCCAAGCTTATCCGTAAAATACCTACATTTGCACTTGATTAATCCCCGCTAATTATGTAATTATTTTTTTTCCCAACACCAAAACAAAGTAATTAAAAAGTAAATTATTTTCACGGAATGCAATGGTTTTATAAAGTTATAAAGGGAAGTAATTGTGTTTTTCCTAATTTATCAAAGGGAAGTAAGTGCTATAGGACTAAATAAAGACATAATTAGAATTTTTGTAAAAGATGATATTTTTTTTAAAACTTGTGTTTAATGAACATGCCGACAATTATTACTATAATTTGAAAAATGAAAATTATTTCCCAACACTTTCAATAGTAATTTTTTAGCTCATAAATTTAGACAAATGCGCACGATAATTTTCTAACTTTTAAATTCGTACACTTCCAACGACATACAGATTACATTCAGAACTGAGCTTTATATATTAGATATATATATATATATATATATATATATATATATGGCTACAGGACATTACCCCCCTGGATATTTCCCCCCCGGACATTTCCCCCCCCCCCCGTATTTACCCCCCGGAGCAATTACCCCCCTGTCAATTACCCCCTGTCAATTACCCCCCCCCCCCCCCCCCCCCCCCGGGGAATTACCCCCCCCCCCCCCCCCCCTCTCAAGTTAAAATCCTAACTCTAACTAGAATTTTATACCTATATACTACTTTAATCCAAACCTCAAGAAAAAGACCAAAACCTAAGCATCCACCTTAGCCTAAAACTTCACACAAAACCAAAACCAAAGCTAGACACAACCCTAACACTAGCTCTATCCCTAACCCTAGCCCTAGCCCTAACCCTAATCTTAACCCTAACCCTAGCCCTAGCCCTAATCCTAATCCTAACTCTAGACCTAGCCCTAGCCCTAGCCCTAACCCTAACCCTAGCCCTAAAATCTAACCCTAACCCTAACCCTAACCCTAACCCTAACCCTAACCCTAACCCTAACCCTAACCCTAACCCTAACCCTAGCTCTATCCCTAACCCTAACCCTAGCCCTAGCCCTAGCCCTAGCCCTAGCCCTAGCCCTAGCCCTAGCCCTAGCCCTAGCCCTAGCCCTAGCCCTAGCCCTAGCCCTAGCCCTAGCCCTAGCCCTAGCCCTAGCCCTAGCCCTAGCCCTAGCCCTAGCCCTAGCCCTAGCCCTAGCCCTAGCCCTAGCCCTAGCCCTAGCCCTAGCCCTAGCCCTAGCCCTAGCCCTAGCCCTAGCCCTAGCCCTAGCCCTAGCCCTAGCCCTAGCCCTAGCCCTAGCCCTAGCCCTAGCCCTAGCCCTAGCCCTAGCCCTAGCCCTAGCCTTAGCCCTAGCCCTAGCCCTAGCCCTAGCCCTAGCCCTAGCCCCAGCCCCAGCCCCAGCCCCAGCCCTAGCCCTAGCCCTAGCCCTAGCCCTAGCCCTAGCCCTAACCCTAATCCTAATCCTAATCCTAATCCTAACCCTAACCCTAACCCTAACCCTAGCCCTAACCCTAGCTCTATCCCTAACCCTAGCCCTAACCCTAGCCCTAAACCCTAACCCTAAACCTAACCCTAAACAAAACCCTAGCCCTAGCCATAGCCATAGCCGTAACACTAACCCTAACCCTAACCCTAACCCTAACCCTAACCCTAACCCTAACCCTAACCCTAACCCTAACCCTAACCCTAACCCTAACCCTAACCCTAGCCCTAGCCCTAAACCTAACCCTAAACCTAGCCCTAACCCTAACTCTAACCCTGTCCGGGGGGAGGGGGGGGGGGGTAATGTCCTACTGGGCGGGGGGTAATTAACAGGGGGGTAATTACTCTGGGGGGGGGTAATGTCGGGGGGGGAAATATCCGGGGGGTAATTGACAGGGGGGAAATACCCTGTTCCCATATATATATATATATATATATATATATATATATATATATATATATATATATATATATATATATATATATATATATATATATATATATATATATTATATATATATATATATATATATATATATATATATATATATATATATATATATATATATATATATATGTGTGTGTGTGTGTGTGTGAATGTGTGTATATACATAGATTTTATAGTCATCTAATTTGTGTAGAATGGAGAGCAGGTTATGACATTACTAAGCCAACCTACCATCACAAGCAGAGACACATTTGATTTTGTCCCTCCCCTCCACGTTGTACTTCTCAAAGTTGAGGAACACTCCCCCGGGGTGGTACTGCGGCTGAGGGGGGTAGATCTTGCCGTAAGAGTACTGGAACTCGTAGATCCGTTGGTTGTCCTTGTTCCGGAGACCGCCGTACACCTGTGGGGTAGGGGCATGAGATACTTGAGAGCCGCCCTGTTGTGATTGCACCTTCTGCAATAACATGACTGTCGTAGAATACCCGCTCCCCCACCTCTCCGGAAATTTTAAATCCGACCCCCGGAAGTCTTAAACGGCCTTACTAGAACGGGTGTCACCCGGTGCGGTTAATGATTTTCGTTTTGGTGTCATCACGCTTGCCTACTATTTCATTTTTAAACAGGATAAAACGTTGCTTTAATCGTAATTTTAAGATTTTTCGAAGTGGTGTCTTACCCTAAAAGGTATCCCCCAACACGGGCTAAATCTCCCCTCCCCCGACTTGTGACGCTCTAACTCCGGCCCCCTTCCCCCGGAGATAAATGTCTGAAAGAAACCCTGGCCTGAGGGGTGTTAGAACACCCCCTTCCCAAATGAAAGATATTTCTCTTAATGTTACAGCTATTGTCGACGATGTGCTCTTGTCGTTTTGTTTATAATTTCAAATACTAGAATGTCATTAACTCCACAATTTTACGTCCTTATCAACATTATGTTTTATTATTTTCATTATCATTATTATCATTATCATTATTATCATTATTATTATTATCATTATCTTTGTAAGAAGTTCTGGACGACACCACGTTCTGAGAGAAAAAACCAGGTAACCTTGACCTACATAGAGCATATGGTGTAGAGCACCCGATCGCGTCAAACCACCAGGAATCAGAATTGGAAACCCCCCCCCCCCCCCAACAAACCAACTTACATCAAAAAATTTATTGATGAAGGACACGGGCATGTAAACTTCCGGCCCGTCCCTGCGGCACTCGATGATCTCGGCATTGTTGATGGAACAGTTGATGACGCTCATGTCCTGCACGGGAGGGTAGGGCTGGGGGACGTTGTCCACGTCAGCCAACTCCGGGCAGGGGGGGCAGGTGGACACCTGCTCCTGCATGAAGCTCAGATGACTGGACATTGACAGCTGCTGGGGTGGGGCGGCCTCGTACGACCTACGGGCAGAGTGCAAAACATTTCATCACGGGACGGCGTGCTGGTCATGACATTATTTTAAATAATACGAACAGAGGTTTTAAAATTATAAGTTTGTTGAGTCAAAACAACGTAACGATCTAATATTCTAAGGGCCCTCGATATTTTATGATCTGAAAAGTATAACTGCTAAAGCAGACTCAACGAACCCAGTTTTCTTTATACATGCCGAGGATATTTTTCTATCATCATTTTTAAGATTATTCCGTTATATTTTTGCAGTTTTTTTTACTAAGTAGACAGGTTGAATTTTTAAGCCCCAGACCACGTAATATCTATGTCTAATTTTACTTTTTGTTCTTTCAATAAAAAGTTCTTTTAAAACCAATTAGCAAATACTCCACTCCACTCACACACGAACAATAGTTTGATCAACTTTTCAATGTCAATTAAAGCCAAACACCCCTTCATAAGTTGATTTATTTGTAGCGGCACAATTCAATTGGATGAAGAGACACCCTTTTAGATATTGACGTACGGTATACACAGTAGGTATTCCTCATATACCAAAAAAATCGAAACTGACGACTTAAAAGGCTGTTGAAGAGTGACAAGTAATCGATGGTTGATTGACACACTATAGTGAATCAGTTTGGTATTTGTAGGCTGACCTATTGAAATTCCTTTTGGTCATGTTTTAATCTGTATTAAATAACCCAAAATATCCAAATCACTATGTTTATAGCTTTTGTTGAAAAACGATAAGACTAAACTGTCTGAATAAAGTATTAGATATTTTTCCGTTTCGTTATAAAATCCCAAATTCATAGAAACACGAAGAAACTGCAGCAACAAACACTCCCCCCCCCCTCCCACGCTTGGCTACAAGGCTGATTTAGGAGCTATTGTAGAAGTGTAGTGAAGAGCACAGACTTTTTGTCTTACAAGACAATACATTTTGTAGTATAATATTAAGGTTTTGCTTACAGAGTAAATCCGCAGCTAACAATATGCAGAAAACACATTACTACCACCATACTGAAGACCAGCTGTGTATACTTATGAAATGTACACGATTATAGTAAAAATTAAAATATTAACATTATATGTGTGTGTGTGTGTCCAGAGGCGTAGCGACCCTTCCCGGCGCCCGGGGACTTATGTCCCCCCCTTCTCCCCCATCGCTACGCCTCTGTGTGTGTCTATATGTCTGTTTCTATCTGTGTGTGTGTGTCTATGAGTGTGTGTGTGTGTATGTAGGGATTGTGGTCAGGAACTTAAAAATTAAGCTAGTCTTCTTAGTAAAACACTTCAAAAATATAACGAGATAATCATGCTAAAATGACGTCAGTATAAATTCTCTTCCCACTACTCGGAAACTTGGTGCAGCCCCTTCCCCTTCGTGTTGAAGGGAGGTACATTACCCCCATAGGACCAGGACATCTTGTACACTCACCTGTAGCCCATGACAGTTCTCCCATAGGACCAGGACATCTTGTACACTCACCTGTAGCCCATGACAGTTCTCCCATAGGACCAGGACATCTTGTACACTCACCTGTAGCCCATGACAGTTCTCCCATAGGACCAGGACATCTTGTACACTCACCTGTAGCCCATGACAGTTCTCCCATAGGACCAGGACATCTTGTACACTCACATGTAGCCCATGACAGTTCTCCCATAGGACCAGGACCAGGACATCTTGTACACTCACCTGTAGCCCATGACAGTTCTCCCATAGGACCAGGACCAGAACATCTTGTACACTCACCTGTAGCCCATGACAGTTCTCCCATAGGACCAGGACATCTTGTACACTCACCTGTAGCCCATGACAGTTCTCCCATAGGACCAGGACCAGGACACCATGCTGAACAAGAATCCACCTATCACGAGCGAGACACCGAGCCGCAACAGCCAATCCAGTTTTCGCACACTTCGTCTGACCGACATGAGGAAAGGTCGGACAAATATCTGAGGAGTATTTAGTTAACATAGGTCGGACAAATATCTGAGGAGTATTTAGTTAACATAGGTCGGACAAATATCTGAGGAGTATTTAGTTAACATAGGTCGGACAAATATCTGAGGAGTATTTAGTTAACATAGGTCGGACAAATATCTGAGGAGTATTTAGTTAACATAGGTCGGACAAATATCTGAGGAGTATTTAGTTAACATAGGTCGGACAAATATCTGAGGAGTATTTAGTTAACACAGGTCGGACAAATATCTGAAGGAAATTTATTTAACATAAGTCGGACAAATATCTGAGGATTATTTAGTTAACACAGGTCGGACAAATATCTGAGGAGTATTTAGTTAACACAGATCGGACACATATCTGAAGGAAATTTATTTAACATAAGTCGGACAAATATCTGAGGAGTATTTAGTTAACATAGGTCGGACAAATATCTAAGGGGTATTTAGCTAACAGACATGAGGCAAAGTCGGACAAATATCTGAGGAGTATTTAGTTAACACAGGTCGGACAAATATATGAGGAGTATTTAGTTAACACAGGTCGGACAAATATCTGAGGAATATTTAGTTAACATAGGTCGGACAAATATCTGAGGAATATTTAGTTAACATAGGTCGGACAAATATCTGAGGAATATTTACTTAACATAGGTCGGACAAATATCTGAGGAGAATTTAGTTAACATAGGTCGGACAAATATCTGAGGAGTATTTAGTTAACACAGGTCGGACAAATATCTGAGGAGTATTTAGTTTCACTTTGAGTTAGCAAGCGTACGGTCTAACATCATAACACATACTTTAGTTTTATTTATTGTTTATTGAATTTTTAGCTCTAGAAAATATTGATTGGTCATAAATTTAATCCACCGTAATGCGTTTAAAAGAGTGTTATATAACAATTAAATATAACACCCTATTTTCTAGTGGTAAATAGACTTGAAAAGCGTGTCACAAATAGTTCCAAATGTTTTGTTGCCAGAAAGCATATTTTTCAACCAAAATTGAATAATTTCTAACATTTGTGTAACAAGTACAAAATTACTACCGGTTTCAAAAAAATAATTACTAGTAATATAATAGTAATTTAGCAAACAATTTTCTTTTTAATTTGGATTAGTAGAGTAATGCTGTTGTGGTGATTGGGATGTTATATTACTTAGTATAAATAAATTACTAGGCTCTACCCCAGTCACCACTATTGTGTATTTTTATTATGGAAAACAATTGTTCTCATTTTATTTTACTCTCCAAGGAGAGGTTGAGGTCAGTTTTTGAAAATATTTGAATTGATAAAATAATTCTAAACGGCTTTTCAACGGCTTATATTCAATACAAAAATATAAAAAAATGCGTGTAATCGATGGTTCCCAAACGGCTTTAATTTCTGTAATGTAGCTATAATTGTATCGCTTGCCATATTTTAAAAAAAGATTTTTATTCAAAAATTTAGCATAATTACATAGACTTTTCATGCCTAGTTTGAAAGAAGTTGTTTCGGTGTGAAATTTGGTAAGAGAGAAATATTAAGAGTTAAAATGGCTAGAGAGAAAGATAGGAAGGAAATGATAAGAGTGAAATAGCTAGAGAGAAATAGTAAGAAAAATGTAAGGAGAATGATTTTATGTGATTAAAAGATAAGAGAGGAATTGTAGTAAATGCTTTTTTAGAGATTAAAAGTTATGAAAAATCAACACAAAAGATTGAAATAGTAAATGAGAAATGGAGAGTATGCATAGATATTGATATGTAGATATAAAATGTACGCCAAAACGTGTATATTATTTTTATAACCAATAATTGTATTGATCACAGAAGGTTGGAAAACACATAAACGTATAACCGTGTGTTTATGTGGGCATATATATATATATATATATATATATATATATATATATATATATATATATATATATATATATATATATATATATATATATGTATGCACTAAAATTATTATTTATTTAAAAATATAACATTAAAATGTTATAAATAACTTATGAAAAAGTAGTCACCCTTACGCGAATGTTCATTCTACACAATGGAAAATTTCCGCTGTGCCTTTTGTATAAACTGTCACGAATGTTAAGAAGAAAATGCTTTACTTACTGAAATGACCGTACCCAAATTGTTAAATCTAAAAAACAAACTAATAAAAGAGAACTGATACATTTTTATACTTACTCTTGTGACTTTATCCGGTGTAAACCCGCAAATAAAACTTGAAATAATAATGTGATCAGGGAGGTGGACTATATATTTTTTTTACAATATCTTCATATCAGCTCATGGTAACTCTTAATTGTTACCTCCCCTGGATGAGTTTCTTCCCTTCAGCCGGAGCGCGCATACAAACGTCAATAGGCTGTACTAAGGGGAGACAATGACTATAAAAGTTATAGCCAGATTTGAACATTATACTGAGGTTTTTTTTATTAGAAAAGATAATTAAAAAAAAAAGGTTAAGCGACCGATTCAGTGTATTGATTGAGGCGTTGTATTCAAATGTTAAAAAGTTTCATGATATAATTTTGGCCTTACTTATGGTAAAATTAACAATGAAAAATATAAGTTACATTTTTAATATTGATTAGAAATATTTTTAGATGTTTTTTTTGGGACATCAATAATACAACAATATCATACAACAATTTAATGTTTGTATTTGGTTTGGAGAAAAGAGTTAGGATTATGATTAGGACAGAGTAAATGTTAGGATTAGTCCCAGAACAGGATAGGGTCGAGTTCCGTTGAAGTTGTATACCATCAATGCCTTGGTTAGTATATATATATATATATATATATATATATATATATATATATATATATATATATATATATATATATATATATATATATATATATATATATATATATATTGGCCTATACATATAATATGCCTATATATTCCTATATAATATTTAGGCTTATATATAATTGTATTAATATATGTAAATGTCTATATATACATATATATCTTCATATGCCCTGTATATATATATATATATATATATATATATATATATATATATATATATATATATATATATATATATATATATATATATATATATATATATATATATTTATATAAATATTGGATGCCACCCAAAGGACACCGGACGACGCACAAACAGCACCCATGTTTAAATAACTAAGGGCGTAGCTCAGTGGGGAGGGAGGGTACGTCAGTCCCGGGCAAAAAATGGGATACACGCAATTATAGCAACGCTATTGGAATTCTTGCTCGCAATGTTATGATGTTCTTGTCTTATCCTAAAGGATTTTTAAAACTTCTTTACAATCCTGCAAAAAAGTTAGTCTCCCTGACTATTAAAATCAGCTAATGCAAAATTTAAAGTGTAATTTAATTGAACGATCAATTTAGGAGTCTACGGCTTATTAGTTTTTAAGCTAATTATGTTGATTTACGATGAGGCCAGATCCTCTTAAGTTAGAAACTTTTTGATGAGATATAAATTACACAACATACACCTTACTCAGCGATCTTGTTTAAGCTTGCATAACGTTCGATTAAAACACCATTATCGACACCCCCCACCCCTCGTCTTCTACCCTTAAAGGACCAGGTATATTTTACCTGAGGTGTTAATCGAGCGGACTGGGCAGGTGTTAAGTGGCAGGTGGAATGACAGGTGATGCAGGTGCTAGCCCAGCTTGTGGCCTTATGGGATACATTGGTGTATAGACAACTTGAACTGGAGGGAGATGGTTGCAGGGTCGGTACAGGGGTACATTGGTGTATAGACAATCTGGTCAGTACAGGTGATACATTGGTGTATAGACAATCTGGTCAGTACAGGTGATACATTGGTGTATAGACAATCTGGTCAGTACAGGTGATACATTGGTGTATAGACAACTTGAACTGTAGGGAGATGGTTGCAGGGTTAGTACAGTGGAGAAATGGAGGACAGGAGAGCTATGACATTCTAGTATGAAAATGCAACAACCATGACAATACACAAACTATGACATTATGGCATATTTGACAATATGACAAGTACGACAATATGTCAAATATGACATGTCAACAATGACACTGTGGTATTTTTGTGACACCACGGTAACTATGACGATTAGGGAGAATCAACAAATATAACAATGACACACTCTAGTGAGAGAGAAGCACGGCATTAGCCTCGTTTAATTACCCCCCCCCCCCCCCCCCCCAACTCCCTTGTAATTACCCGTAATTACCCGTTATCGATTAACTGTAGCAATAATAGGAATAGGGTTAGGGCTAGGGTTAGGTTTTCAGAAATAAGGATAAAGCTGGAATAGGGATTCGGGTTATGGATAAGGATAATTTGTAAAAATTCTGGTTGAAAAAGGCTTGTTTTGCATTTTGTCAATATTGTATTCTTCAGAATGCCCAGAAACTACACAATTCTATGCTGTACACTGTCTATTCCAGGCATTGCATACAATAGTAATGCATTTTCTGCCGTGTTTCTCACATTTACATTGCTAAAA